GGGTACAGGTGGCATACATGCCAGGAGTAGTACCACCAAGTCCGACACCGTCCTGTAGCACCTAGCTACTCGCAAAGCGACTATCCGCTGCGCCTGCATCAGCGCGTCGTTCGTCTTCTGGACCTCTTGGATGCTGTCCGACCATACCTGGACACCATATAGCAATCTGCTATGCACCACGCTCATCAGCAGCTGTCGCTTTGATTGCGAGGGACACTTGATATTTGGCATGAGTCTGCCGATAGCCGTCGCTGCCGACTTCACCCCAGCTGAGACGATACGTGCGTGTTCTGTGAAAGACAATCTGGTGTCTAGATGGACGCCGATGTAGCGCATAGTTCGCATGACTGGGACTGTGTGCCCGTTTACCAATATTGACGGTGGACGGAAGGAACGCTTCTTGGTAAGCATCACACACTCCGACTTCTCCGGAGCCAACGACAATACGTTGTCTGACAACCAATTACTGACTGCTGAAAGTACTGAGTTGATGACTTCCTCGAGTAACTCTACGTTACGGCCACATCGTCTGCAAAGGCCAAAGGTCTAATGGATCTAGGGACTGGGAGCCTCAGGATACCATTGTAAAAAACGTTCCACAAATTAGAACCCAGAACCGAGCCCTGCGAAATTCCGCACGTCACCGATAGGGCAGCTACGCTTGAAGACGGGACTCTGGCGACGGATATCGTGCGGGCGGACATGTAAGATCGCAGGACGTCCACTAAGTACCTCGGCGTGTAGCACCGCTGAAGCGACGCGTCGAAATGTGCCCATGGAGCCGAGTTAAACGCATTCCTGACGTCTAGGGTAACCATGGCGCACATGTCCCTGTCCTTCACTGCATGCGCACCAGCTTCCCGCGCTATACACAGGACTTCGGCGATAGCGTCAGTCGTTGATCTCGAGCGCCTGAAGCCGTACTGGGCGTCGCTGAGTCCACGAACCTGTTCAATGTGGCTACCCAATCTGGCCAGCAGAAGTCGCTCCAGCAATTTACCCGCGCCGTCGAGCAGGCTGATGGGCCTATAGCTCGACGGTTGGTCAGTAGGCTTGGACTGACCCTTGTGCAGGAGAACCAAGGTAGCTCTCTTCCATCGGTCTGGGAAATTTCCGTAGTGGATGCACGCGTTATATGTCTCGAGGAAGAGTTCCAGAAACCGGATTGCAGCGAATCTTAACATCTCATTGGGCACTTGGTCGGGCCCTGGAGCTTTCCCCATCGGAAGTCTGCCTGCTGCGTGCTTCAGCTCGTCAGTGGTGAACGGAGGGAGATCGAGGTCCGTGAGGGATACGAGCTCAGCGGAGTCACCCACATTATGCGAGATCGTAGACCAGTCTACTGAAGGGAGATCCGGAAAGAGACCGCGTGCAATAGCAAGCACCGCATAGTTATCCAATGTCGGAGTGCGACGATCCAGCTTCCTCGTGACCAATTTAAACGGCACACCCCACGGGTCGCTATCGACGCTGTCACAGAGGTTGCTCCAACTGGCTTCTTGCGCCTTCCGTATGGCTAATTTTAGACTCTTCCTCGCATCGTTGTATTCGACAAACGCATCGGCTCGGTCTGCAGTGTCCGCCCGGCGACCAGCGCGCTGGTATCGCCTGAGGGCAGCGATCGAGGCCTGGCGAAGCTTAGCAATGTCCCCACTCCACCAATGCACCACTTTCCTTCCCTTGAACACCGTCCTCCGTGACATTACCGCATTGCACGAGTCAACCAAGAATAAAATATAAACTAACATACCTAACTGAATTATTAGATACTATACATGCGCTATTTTTAATCCAAACTGCAGATATGCTGGGCAGCCACGAAATAAACCATAACCTTCGGGATTCGATGAATAAGCTGTCATGGATAAGCTCACCACAGGGGAACGATTGACCCCTGGTTTTTACAAGATCAGGGCAATCGGACCGGCAGTCAGACAACGCAAGTCTGATATCGTTAATGACGGAAAAGCCAACAGAAAACCATGATAATGGACGAACGTAACATGCATGGTAGCAATGCTTAATGGGAAGAAACCGAGAAATGGAACGGTGCCTGCTATTCCCAGACCTTCGGTCATGAAAAACGAGGGCTTCTAGAAGTCGAAGAGCGAGTTTCTTTTGGCAGTCTTGATCAAACGAGGAGAGGCTTAATTTGCGGAAACTGTCCAACGGATTTAGTCGAAGGTAAACGCAAAGACCACAGAGGATTCTATTACAAGAATTTGTGAGACTTGTAACGGTGATCTTTAGATCTAAGTTAAGGGTGAGTTGGGGATAGCCGAAGTAGTCCGACAGGAATTCCATCGTGTCTGCAGCGAAGATAACGGATGCGAATTTTGAGGTGACACACAACCGTTGGGCTACACGATCTTGACTTGATCACCGATGAAGGTGATCAAACGTGCTGTCATACCTCTCTGGGGAGTTCGAGGGATTCATCAATTACCTGGACTCAATACAGTCAAATTTTAATTGGCAGATCGTATTCCGATTAGATTTCAAAGCCCACTCTCCTACTCCCTAATATTATAGTAATAGTCCTAATGTATACTCGATGTCCGCAGGACAGAAAATTTCACAACTTCGCCTAGTTTGCAAGTTTGCAATTTGGGCATTCGTATGTCTCGATCACAGAACAAATTACGTCTTCGACGTAAGATCGTGAAGTCATCTACATGACTTATGAGGTGGCCTACAATAATTGTTATATAATTAAGTATTTACTATAAAAATCTGAATACTGTATTTGTCACCAGTGTTGCGTCGAAAAAATGTGCTTATGAGAAGTTCTGTGTTATGCTATGCTATGTAGGGGCATTTCTTAATTCTTGTCCCTTGGTGCAATTATCCTAGAATACGGTACATTGTGATAAAGGTTATTAAGATTATTAAGATAATCCAACTCACTTTCACATTATAGCCTCCATGATATTATAAAATATACTTATTTAAATACAGTATTATAAATATATTAGAAATAAAAAAAATTCTTTCCTCGGATTAAAAATTAAGAAAGAACACTCAATAACATTATCGTGTTCTCTTTCGAAATAATAAATGCGTTTTTGGGTGTAAGCTAGATGATAACACCAATGTCAATAGATCGTTGAAACACCAAAATTCGAAAATATCATTTACAATATTTTCAAGAGGCGTCCTCCAAAATTAATTTTAACAAAAAAAAAAATTAATAACAATCTTATCTGTATCGAATAAAAGCTATCATTTTTTTTTACATTACAAATCATTATAGTATTAATAATATAATATTTAAAATATATTATTAAATAAACATTTGTTCAATGAAACCCCATGGATGATTTCTAATTGCAATATTCATAAGTAAATCATTTTTATTTTCATTATAATCTAGATCGTGATAAGTTGACTTAATTTTAAGTGATCATACAAATTTAATTTGCATAATCTTTCAAGTTTATCAATTCAATTAGTTATAATGACTCATGATTTAACATTATTCAAATATCTGATCAGTCCAAGACCATCAAGTTCTGAATAATTACAATACTATTTAAAATAATACAAGATACAAAAGGTTCCATTACATTGTAGAGGTCCATAAAAAATAAAATAATTAGAATGCAGACACTATACAGACTACTTTATTGATTTTGCTTGACATATTATGTATTTATATAGATTATATTATTAATAATAATAATTAAGTAACATAGATATTATGACACATTGGCCTTTTTAGTAATATTTTTCTAATTCTGAAACTAACAATAATGGCGTTAAAAAAAAAAAATTAATTTAATTTAAGTATTTCAAAAGAATACAAATATAAATAAAATTGTATTTCATGGAAGTGATTATAAAACCAAAGAAAACACCAAAACATATCTTATAATAAAGTACTAAAGCCAATGCAAATACATAAATTCATCAATAATAATAATTCAATAGTTTGACAAAGTCTATTGACTAATTAGGGTCCATAAGTATATAAATAAACTTTTAATTGGGAATATCATATATCTTACAATTTATTTTAATAATATAATATATTATAATAATATATAAATGTATATATGTAAAAAATGTCCACAATAAGTACGTATAACAAAAATATTAAAGTCAGGAACATAAAAGCACTTACAACTATTTGGTTGCCATTTTTTTCTTTCTAATATTAATAAAAAAAAAAAAAAAAATCAGTTTAAACAGATTATTATAGAATAAAAGTAATCATATTACAGTTTATTTTCAGGAGATTTTATATCTAATTATCTTACTATGATTAGATTTTTTTATATTTTCTTCTTACTTGCCCATTTGATACACTAAACTGAACAAAATGTATTTAGATTCCATAACTCAAACTGGTAAAAACAATATTTTTGATGTCACAATATATTTATTATAGCATGATTGCAAAAACAAAATCTCCTTCAAAACTTTTTTATTACTGATGTAACTATTGCTGCAATTATTTTATTACATATGTTAAAATATAAAGATCATTGCACAATAATGTCTTCAAATTGACTTACTTCAAGCAAAGTATACAATTCTTTTATAACAAATAATATTCCAATAAAACGTAAAGTATTTTAAAACATAAAACTCTCCAAATCTAAACTTTTAATTTTAGTATTTATTTTCATTATTGGATTAGAACCGAAGCTCTTTATTTCAATATTATGAATACAAATCAGTAAGAAAAGATATGTGAGCCCCACTTAATCATATTCAATTAAAAACCGATTTAATACTAATTCTAAAATTATCGTTATCATATTTTTATCATTATTGGCACATAAATATTATTTCCAAACATTGTGTGCATTTAGTAGTACATAAAATAATGGATGTGTAATGTGTGTATATAATGGATAAATATGTATGTTATTATTTACAGTTTATAAATTATTAAAATTATAAACATCCTTATCAACTAGTTATAATATAAAATTGGTTTTGTGTTTCAAATGTAGAAATAATAATAATATCACCTCATAATAACAAATACTTACAATGTATAAATTAAGATTTAAGATACTAAAAAAAAAATATGAGTGTTAAGTCAACACCCACATTGCATTTACACCCAAGAATCACCACCTTGTGCAGTAGATACATCAACAGATGAAACTTTTGGTTGCGCCTGTTCATTATAGTTCCACATTTCACCCATTGAGCTTGATGGTTCATACTGCTTGTTTTTCTTTTTCTCACGGTTGACTTGAGCATAAAGAGGTTCCCCTGGTCGTAATGGCTAAAGAAAAAATGTATTAAAAAGTATTTATTTATCAAGTACATTAAATAATGTACTATGTGTTCAAATTTTCATTAGACATGTAGCATAATAAATACAATATTTTTTGGTAAATTCTCAATATTTCACATTAAAAAAAAATAAAAATATATAAACATTTGATAAATATGTAATATTAAATCAAAGTAAATTATTCATTATAAAACTTTGTATATTTTAAAAATATGAAAACATTACCATTGCATATATTAAATCCTTTATCTACTTACATGTCCAGGGGAATATATTAATACTCCACTAGCTGGAGGAGTATGAGTAGATACTTCAGGATATGGCATATCTGCTAATGGAATGTCTTCATTCTGAAAACATTATTATGTATATAGAACCTAACAGAAGAACGTAATGTACTCCAATAGAGCAAATTCAGTCCAGAGATAATATGAAAATCTTATTTAAATGAAAATAGAAATGAAAGGGTCAGATAAATCAGTTAATTAATAAGTATAAATATCAACAAAAAGATTAAGTGATTTACCAAAAAATATTGTAAATGCAATAAAAATAATTATGAATATTGCAATTTATATACTATATTATCTAAATAAGTATTATATTTAATATTAATACATTGTTATAAATGTATTAAGATTAGTAATTGAAGCCACAAGTATGAAATCAACACCAAACAAAATTACTAATTAATAGGTAGTCTATAAGGATAATATTACATTCAAATTTAAATTAAATATAACAGGAATGTAACTTAGGAACTTAATAAATTATATAATTTACAACCACATAAAAAAAAATTTTAAAATATTAATATCTAAGTATAAAATAAAATCTTAAATATTTATTTTATATAATTGTTGTACATAATTTCAGTTAGTTCAGTTCAGTTAATTAATTACTAATAACCATAACAGTAAAAAAAAAATTTTCTGAAACTATAAAAATACTGATTTAAGAATAAAATTATTTAAAAACTACTTAATGTTTTCAAAAAATGTGTAAATAACTAACAAATTAAATTTTGCAAAATTGGTGGTAAAAAATATACATACATGTATGTATATAATCCAGTCAATATTTATTTCCCAGTAAACAAATTTTTTTGATTCAATTATTTCAAAATGTATAATATATTTACAATGAAAAAAAATAATATACCATTTAAACACATAGTATTTACATAAAAAAAACATTAATAACTCAACTCACAGCTTGATAAGTAGAATTGGTGTTAGAGTTTGATAATGAGTGATTCATCTGTGGGACATTTGGATTTTGCCTTTGTATCGTTCTATCTTCATATCGAGTACCACCTTGACTTGCCATTGGACGATTAAGTGTACTGTTTGCATTATTTGGGGAGTTGACACCGCCTGCTGCATTTCTTGCTGCAATAGTCTTAGTAACAAAATCCTGTTCTCTCCAACCATGCTTTTTATATGCATCTCTAAGTTCTTGATGTTGCCACATAGCAAACAATACTTGACTGGCAAATTTTAGAACTCTTGAAGTGTATTTCTGACGCTGCCTAATAATGTTCATCAATCTTTCTACTCCACTAGAGTCCAGTAAAGACCTACAAATAAATATTTCATATATTTAATTATTTTACTATATTAAGTTCACAAATGTATAATAAATTATTATCAAAGTTATAATTGCAGTATAGCTGCAATTAAATTAATTTTTTAGAATTATTTACCTGGCAAATTCAGCATTTTTTTTAATAACTTCATTTAATGTAGCTAAGACAGCTGCTATAGTATCATCTGATGTTCCTTGATCGTGTTGAGCATTCCCCGATGGTAATTTTTGGACTAAATCCCTCATTGCATATTTACCTAAGTATTAAAATATATATTATAAAATGTATATTTAACACTTTCTATAATAGAAAATATGACTACTTAAAACTTACCAATGAGTTCTTTATTTCTTTGGTCAATAGCCAAATTCCTTAATGCTGTGGCAACAGCACAAACAACACGGTCAACTTCCATACGTAAGAGTTCGACCAGAATAGGTAGACCTTTTTCTTTTCTAACAGCAGCTCTAATTTCAATACTAGGCTGCCAATAACAAGCAGCTAAATTCTGTATTGCACCTGCAGCAGCCTCAAGAGTTTCTGGATTTGAACAACTCTGTAGTAGAGCTAAGTATGATTGAACCACCTAAAAATATTTTTATATATTATTAAGAATTATGTTAAGTACATTAGGTAATAATGAAAGCTCTTACTTCTGGTTGCCATAATAATTCCATTCCCTTGGCGGGTTCTGATCTAGGAATTATACGACTACTAGGATTTTCTTTAGGAGAAACAACTTGTATATCTTTTTTCTTTTTACTCGCACCAAAACAACCTAGATTTTCTGCTAAATCAGAGAAAGCAAAATAAGTAATATATAAATAAATATGTCTTTTTTAGTTTTTTTAGAATATATTAGTTTTCACTGTTTAAAATCCAACCTTTAGGTGGAGGACCGACTCTACTTTGAGTTGGTAAAGGATGTTTATCATAATTTGGATCTTCAAATTCTTGACATCTATATGATAAGTTACGTAAAATGCATACACAATTTTCTACACTTTTATTTCCAATATTTGATTTTTCAATAGCAGTTGAAATTACATAAAGAAGTGAATCAATCAAGTGCTCGCATTCTCGCAATTTTCTTCGAGCATATTCACCAGCTGAACTAATATTCCTAATTATCAAAAATAATGTATTTAAATAAGTTTACAAGTTTAACAATTAGAAAATATCAAAAATAGTATACCTTAATACTCCAGAAGTATTTCTAAATACAGTTGACCAACAAATATCACTGCAAACAGTCGGACTCCATCCTGAATGAGGAAGTAATATATGATTTACAATAGTTGAAAGGCCATCATCAATTATTGATTTTTTCAAATCCTATCATATAAATTAATTAATTAAAAAATTAACAGTCATTTTTTTTATTCAAAAAATGTCATGCCTCGCACGATGATAAATTCCATAAAACTCCAGTAACAAGTTCTTTAACTTCGGCATCAGCAGATTTATGCAATAAATTGATTAATAATGGTATTCCACCAGCATCTTTAATAGCTCGTTTGTTTTCATCATTCTGTCTTCCATATGACAAATTTCTAAAAATAAATAAATAACAATTTTAACTGATTGACCTTCAATATAAACATACTATGTTAACATTTATTACCTAAGGGCGCCACATGCATTTCTATAAACATCCGGACAGTCATGGTTTAAAAGTTTAACCAATGCAGGTATTCCACCTAAAGTCCTTGTTTTTTGTTTATTTGGGTCATCCATGTAACATAAATGCTGTAAATAAGCAGCTGCATTTGCTTTAATTAAATTATTTGGATTAGCCAGGAATGTTATAACTTCGGGCAAATTAGGATCCCTCCATCTTAGACCTAAATAAGAAAATTAGTAACGTTACATAAAAAAAAAAAAATCATCACATTAACATAATAACAAATATCAACCTTGAGCCATTTGATCTCCACATTCGTCCATATTCCATGATCCACTCATTTGATCTGAAAAAATAAATATTTAAATAATATTTTGAACTTAATAATTAAGTTTATTATTAAACTTAAATTAATTTATTAAAATATAAATCAAATAAGTTAAACTATATATGTGTATATAATAACATATAAAAGTAATACTAACCATAACAATCACCAGGTGAAGGTGTGATTCGGTGATAATGCTCATGGTTTGGATGCAATTGGTTTGAATCAAGTTCTTCATATCCAGAAGGAGGGTATGGTAACCCTTTTCTCATATATTCTAAAAAAAAGTTAAAAATTAAATAATCTAGCAATGCATTTTCAAATATTTAATATTTTCTAAATGTATACATTCTTATATACTTATACTACATATTTGTATAAATGAAATCTATAATTCTTATTCTAATCACCTTGAGCCAAGAGCTGCTGTGGTGGAGGAGATTCACTACATGCGCTAGGACTTGGTGGTGTAGGTACTGTTTCATTATATTCATGTCCCAGTTGATTAGGAGGCACACCAGTATCATACACATGGTATGGATTTCCATCTATTTTAGCACCTTGCTGGTTAGGCATATTAGAGTTGTAATACGAAAGTCCAGGGTGTACGCCAACATAGTGGTCATAATCTTGACAACCTGGATTGTAATTTTGGTAGTCATTGTTATAATGTCCTAAAAAAAATTTAAAAAATAAATGGAAATTCTAATTTATTTATATTTAAATTAATCAATTATTCAGAAAGGATAGTATATTTTTTTTTTAAATGAGTATTAAAAAAATTAACTGTACGAACCAGATTCTGACATATGAGCTGGATTATTTGGTTGAGTTGATGAGTTTGATGAAGATGACACTCCTAATGTATATGGGATGTAATCTAAAGAATGACCATTCGGAATCATATGATGAACTTCTCGAACAACTTTTGTCACAGTTGTAACCTACAATAAATATAATATGCTAGTATACTATATTATTTACATAATTCTATTTGAATTTTAAATTTCTATATTAGTAAAAAAAATTATAATTACTTGTTGAGTTGTTTGATGTTTTTTTGTTTGAGATACTAGCACTGGATTTTCACTACATTGAGCAGATGAACTTGATGAATGATTTTCTTGAAGACCACTATTTGAGTAAGTGATATCATTGGGATAAGAGTTATTTTGAGAGAGGTCTGACTGAGCTCTAAAAAAAAAAAAATTTAAAAAATTAGAATTGCTTTTAAGTTCCAGTAACAATGTACACATTTTCATTGTTTTAATTTTTTTACAATTAAATACATATAAATAGTTCATACATTTTACAAAATAACTACTAAATTAAAATTAATTTATAACACTAATTATACTTTTTTTTATACTAATTATAATTTTATATGAGCTTAACACTAATTATACTTAAGCTCATATAAAATTAAATATTTGTATATATATTTATAATAAAAACTGTTATAAAAGTACACCGGGGATTACAAAACACATGAAATATATTAAATACATATGCATTGTAAGTTTTAAATTTGACTCAATTATAGGTAAGAAAATATTAATAGGTTTGTATATTACTAGAAACGTATATAATATAAAATAATTTTTATTTAAAATGTTCAAAAAAAATTTTTTTTTAAATATTCTTTAACTAACTGGTTGATTAATAATGATTATTTTATTTTATTTTAACTAGTAAGATAAGAAGATAAAATTATTAAACATTAAACAATTTTAATTTATAAATAATTATACTAATTTAATAACAAAAATATTCTTAAACATTTTTAATTAAATTACGTCAAATCAAATTGAAAAAGGGAGAGGAATAATTAGAAAAAGGAATATAATACAACTCTAGACAAACTAGCTGAATAACAATGGTTTTGCCCATGTGTAGTTTTTTGTATTTTTATAATTGTTGACCCTGTGTATTAACAGCCAGAAATTGGCAAAAAATTAGTATATTTTAATATTTCGAAGACAAATTGTAAAATGCATTTCTAATTGGAGAATTTAAGGTAGAACAAGTTAATAATAAATTTTAAAAACTTAGAAAGCAAGTACTCATATATTATACAATTTGTATAACATACATCAATACATCTGTTTTGATAAAATATTTGGTAAGAAAGTAGCTTCAACTGTTTCTTCAGCACTATTAGAGTAATCATATTTTTGTAAAAAATAATAATACTCTTTCGCCCAAATTAAAATATATATAACCATAAGTATGTTGTATAAGATAACAATTTAACATTGTTAAAATACAAGGTTAAATTAAATAAAATTAAATATTAAAATATTAACATTATATTATCACCACTGAAAAAGTAGAAAATTATATAAAATACAACTTTAAAATAGTTTACGACTATGACACAATACTAAGTTATTACAGAGTAAATGGTTTTAAATTGGTTACAAATTAATTGATAGGATAGAATTGATCATAATATTTGATTCAACATGTAAAATTTGTGCATATCAACTATGATTAGTTTTATAAATATAATTTTTATATTTATAAACATGTAAATCTAAATCATTAGAATTTAGGATTTACATAACTAAAAAAAAACTAATATGATACATACTTATGATAATAAGTTAAATTACAGTATAATACTGAATGTTTGACTATTATAATTGCAATAAATACAACAAACCATAATTTTAATTTTTTAAAAGTTTAAATTTACATAATTATATTAAAAATTGTTTTATTTTACTACACTGTAAAAATTAACTATTAACACATTTCAAATCATGTGATCATAACATATCATATTCATATCAACAATTTAAGTAATAAAAATGCTCTACTTTTTAAAATATATTTTAGCACATACCAATTAATATGAGTGAAATTTACAAAATACCTGATTTACTGACAAATATCATGTAATATAGGCTAAATATATAATAAAATAATAGGCTTGTTATTTATTATTAATTAATTAATAGTGCTAGAATTATTTTCACAAATAAAGCAGCCTACATCCGAATACAGCATTGCGATATGTGAAGTGGATATAAAAACTACTAGTATAAAACAAGTAATCTTCTTTCCAAAAACTTTCCAGATTATTTTAAGTTATATAATTTACATCATAAGGACATAATGTAAAAACGTGGATCACCAATTATTTTACTTATATTTACTAAAATATTGGTCATATTATAGTATATTGATTAGGTATAGCATCTCTTAAATGTTGTAAAAACTGGTCTCTACTAGAAATTGAATGATTATAAATATATACGTATATTTGATATTAATCATGTTATATAAATACTAGTGGTCAATAAATATAAAACTAAAAGCTATATTTTGAAAGTAACAATTATATACACATAAATTAAATAATATCAAATTCATTAATGTATGAAATTATGAGATATTATTTAATATATGTTTAAATATTATTGAATAATATTATGAGTTTGATTAATTTTTCAGTAAATATCATGCATTTAAAAAAAAACTACTATAAACTGTCTAGCAAAAATTAAAAAAAAAAAAAAAAACAGCCAAATTCAAAACAAGCATGTATATAGAAAGGGTAAATATAAGCAATACCTTTGTGTAATCTCAGTGCAAGTAAAGCTTTGCTCTTGAAGCTTCTCCACCCTCCTGTTCACCAACCTGTCACCCAAGCAAATTTTAAAAATAAAAGTGTTTATTATACTAAACAATGCTACATTAAAATGAAATAGTTAACATTTTAATAAATTATTAACGAGTCCAATAAAAAGATAAATGGTACTTAAATTCTTTAAACAGCAAGTAATAAAAATAAAATAAAAACTCCTAAAATCTATATTAAATCATTGTTTGCCAATACAGTTACTTTATTTATAGTAAGAAATAAAAACAAATGATTAACATATAGTTTTAAATAATACTTAATTTTTCTAAAAATTATAGTTATAACAATTATAACAATATTTATTGTAATTATTTGTGTTTCGAATAATAAATAACATGATGTTTCAAAGCTTTCCATAACCAAGTATATTGTTAGTTAAATGTTAAAATTTAAGAAGTAAGTCATCAATATTTAAATTAATTATTTGTTAGGTATTATATAATAAGCTCAAGTATAGCAAGTATGTATTTTACTTATTATAACAAATATAATTAAAAATATATTATAACTTTATGACTTTATTTATATAATGAATGTCCATTAAAATATACTTACAAGCATGAGTCGACCAGCTGATTACTCATTGATAATATGACACTTATGTAGCCTGAGAACACATTAAAGATTTGTATAAAATTAGTGAAATATAAAAAATAGAATGTGATTTACTAAAGGATAAAATAGGAACTATAAAATTTAAAATAATATGAACTATGAATTTTATAATGATTTTTCATTCATTTATAATTATATTATTATAATAGTTACCTATAAAGATACTGCAGTAAATTAGAATCTATATTTTTTGGGGGAAAATTGCAATTCAAATTATTTATTTATTTATATCCTCAAGTAATATTAATATTCTATAAACAAACAAAGTAATATTTGTACATATTTTGATATTAGTAAGTTAGTTAGATATGGAGTTCTACTATTAAAAAAAAATAATAAAAATAATTACTATAAAATAGTACTTGATTCAAAATTAAATTAAATCTTCTTCTTCTACTCCTTTTCCTTTCTTCCAACTATTTGGAGTATTACATAAAATTAAATTAAGTACTATTAAAATAATTATCAAATTATTGTTAAAAGAATAATTAAAAATAAAAACATTAAGGTCAAACAATTTTTGGAACATATTTACATCCCAGATATAATATAACCAAGATTTACATTTTAGAATCATCCATATAAACTGTTTATTTGCTATTTATTGCTAAATTAACCCTTAATAATAATTATAATTATCTAATCATAATTTTCTACAACAAAACCCTAGCAAACTGATCATAATATTTCACTAGTGATCACATATTGACCTAATTATTTAATTACACTTTTATTGAGCTAGACTTACCGACAATTCAAACAATAATAAATTACAAACAAAAGAAAAATATATTTTTTGGGCATGCTATTATTAAACTTCAATAGTCAGGCATAACACTAATACTAAACATGAATTATGTTTTAAATAAAGTACTATATAATTTATATTACATTATTTGTTTTTAATCTATATATAAACATTTATTTATGTTATTATAACATTGATGGTTTTTTTTTTTTATAGTATTATAGTATGTAAAAAGTCTAAAAAAAAAGATGACTAATCATAAGATGATTGTATTATTTTTAAATGACTCAGTTTCCATTTACTATTGCACGGCACATTCCTGACCATAGTTATAAAGATAAAATTATTTATATATGGATAACTTAAATTACTTTGGCAGTAACATTATAAGACTGTATACAAAAATTAAGTTCCATATCTTATTTAATATTTTATTAATCAAATAATATTTCAATGAAAATGTTCACTATTTGTATTAAAATGTCTTCTGTACATTGAAATTAAATGAAAAACAACCAAAGTAAATTAATGAATATAAAAATGATGGTAAAAATAAATTAAAATATTACATATTTTTAATATTTTTACTATTAAAAATTATAGAATAATTTGAAATAATAAAAAAACAAAAGAATAATAATTTAAATTAATTAATAATACCGGAATTAATACTGTAAATAGGTTGTTATATTAATAGTAAATACTTTTATTAATTTTGATCATAAAGTAGGTATAAGTAATCATAAATATATAATTTACATAAATATTTGTATCACTTCAAATATATATGGGCAATATCCATAAACTAGCTAAAGACATAATAATATTAATAAACTTAATAATACCAATTTCAGATGGAAATGTTTAAAATTGATAATTTAAATATTTACATCCTTTGAGAACAATTTTGATTTATTAAACTTGTTAACAATAACAATTTAATGTAATTTATCTAATCAGAATACAATGCACATTGTAATATATATATATATACATAACTGTTATATAGTTGCCAAAACAATAAACACAGATTATTTTTTGTGGTAAAAAGTATAGCAAACTCTGATTATTGAGTCTTGCTCAACATCATTAAAAAAAATATAAAAATTGCAAAAATGTATAGAAAATAGAATTATTTAAAAGTGTATAAGAAATAAGTAAAAATAAACAAGAACACTTAGATCAATGTATCTCAATAGTTAAATAAAAATATTAAAGAAAACATACAAGTTATGTGAATAATCCATAAATAAGAAAGAACTTTTACTCAACCACTTAGCATACTACTTCAACACATCTGATAATGATTTATAATAAGTAGTTTTAAATGATTCAAGTTTTAAACAATGATTTAAAAGACAATGATAAATTTTTAATTACGAGTAAGAGCATATGATGAAAATCGGTAGAAAATATATTCTACCCGTGGACACACCTACAGTCCAAGACCTAGATAGCAAAGGAATAAAAACTATTTATATTATAAAAAATCTTATCTAATATACTTGTCGGACAAATAACTGTCACGTTGACATGAATACAATTTACGATACTATAGCCTTGCAAATGAGTCTTCTGACCTGAGGAGATCATCGACAGGTTTCAATACTGTGACTAGATGTAAAAGATGTACGCAACGGGTAGTGGATCGGACTAGGTGATAACAGAAGCAAAAACAACAGGAAGACGGTAGACCTGCACGCCGAAAAAGCCATGGCCAAGGGAAATCGCAAAAACTTGACTACCCGCTAGCTAACTTTCGCGTTGTTGGCGGGCTACGCCTTATTTCCGTGGAATACAAAAAAAAAACCGATTGACCACTGTGGACAGTGGCGAGGTAGGAAACCTTTGGCGAGCCACGTACCTTTTATAGCAAGAAGAGCAGCGATCGGACGTCGTTCAACGGATCATTTCCGGCGTGTCAATAGAGCCAGGAACGAAGACACGTTTAACGGTAGTGTTACGGGTGCGGTGTCGCGATCGTCGAGCTTCACTGTTAACGTGTAGCAGTCGTCTACAACGTAACGACGACGGAGGCGGCAGCGGCGGCGACGGCGGCGGCGGCGGCAGCTGCAAAAGCGGCGGCGGTAGCGGCGCACGGACGACGGGTCATACGCATCGCGTTCTCTGTCGGCGATGTGGGCGCCGAAAACACCGGGGACGGCGGAGACGGTCACGCGGACGGTCGCGCGCGTTCGGCGAGGGAGTCGATTGAAGAGCTCAGACGAAGTCGTCAGACACGTATCACGTCAACAGCACGGTGTGTCCGCGGCAATGAACGGCGCGCGCGTGCCGAGAGGAAAAAAAAAAAAACAGTATCGCCGTCGTATTATCATACGGGGAAAACGCTATCCTCTCGGGTTCGTACGTCATCAGTCATCATAGCGCGTACGTGTATACGTGTATAGTGTATGGAAGTGCGGGCCCGGGCGTGCGCAGCGCGCGCGCGAGTGCGTGCGCGGAGAGGAAGTGTGCGATAGAACGAGTGCGGGTGAGAGAGGGAGGGCGCGCGTGCGGGCGGCCAACGCGGCCGACGGAGAAACAACAACACGACGGGGTTATCATCAATATGATATTGTCAACGTGATACTTTTTTCGCGTTCCGTCTCACTCCCTCCGGCCGTGCGTTCCCATTTCCCTTCCCGGTCGCTCGCCCTCGCCGCGTTTCACCGACTCCCACTCACGGGCGCTCTCTTTATTTTTCGCTCGCTCTCTCTCTCCGCGCGGTCCCGGCCCACCCCGCACCGCCTGTTCCGTACTCGTATCCCGCTCGGCGGTGCACGAGGAACGGGGTCGCCGCGCTGGGCGTGCTACGATAACGCGATACCGGACAAAACGTACTATCAAACACGCGTTTCGTGTCCTGTTGTTTTTCCACGCGCGAGAACGTGTCGGAAGTGTAACGGGGCCCAAGGGCGTTCGCTCGGTTCCTCGGCCCGTCGGACGCAAACCCAAAATTCCCGTCCGCCAAACGTAAACAACCGATCGCGACGGCCGTGTTTGTACAACGCGTGCGCGCGCGCGCGAACGCTCCTGGCGGCAGTCTCTCGCTCGCGTCTGGAAGAATGATCGCCCGGCAGCCAGCGGTCATGTGTAAATAAACCACGGGCCGCCGCCACCCGCCGCCCCCAATGGTAGGTACCGATCGCACTCGTCTCGTCGGCGGGCGCTCCCGTGCGCCGGTGGCTAGGTGTGGGCCCCGGTCCTGGCTCGGCGGCGGGAACAACCGATGACGGTTAGCACCCGCGCGATGATGAACGACTAGACGAACAGTACGCGCGCCCCGGCGGCGAAAAATTGATCTGAAAACTTCTCTGCTGTCGCGCGCGGCCGCCGGTTTGACCTGCAGACATTTTCCCCCCACGCGCGTCTGCCCCAATACCCTCTCGGCGGTGACACTCGTGCAGTGTTCGCAGTGGTCGACAGGTACCTACACCGTGTCTGGGTCCCTTTCAACACGCGCTACCGAATGCATTCGAAGCCGACCGGCGGACTTTAACGGGATCCGCAACATTTGCTCGCACGGGGTAGGTACGAGGGCACGGGCGACCGATTTGTTTGCGCAGACACTGTTTGCACAAACCTGCTGCAAACGGAAATACATGTAAGCCGACGAGTAGTTTTTCACACTCTCCGACGGTTTTGGCTTTAAATGTTATATTATGTTGTTTTAACAACAGTCAACATTTACACACTCCGTGAAATATGATTGCTGATAAATTGTATTTCTCTCTCTCTCTCTCTCTCTCTCTCTCTCGCTTGTAAACTCTAAAAGCTAATTTGTTGTATAAATATCTGGTTGACGCCAGAGATTTTAATAAAACAGTAGAGTCGTGCAAAATATATCTAAATATTTATTTAATATTGTGTACAACTACACGGTCTGTAGTGTCAAACGATTTTATCATATACGTATGTATACGAAAAGTGTATTGAGTACATACAGTATATTTTTAATTTATTTTAATATTATTTATCTGTATACGTAATCGGTTGGATTGAAAAAGCGAGGGTATATTTGGTTTGGTGGACATTTTTATTGAGTGCACAATTCGCGTTACACAAAAGGTACAAATTCCTACTATAATATAAACACCAGATACGGGTTCGAAGCAAAAGTTAAAGAATTCCTTCGTCGACACGTATAATTACACACATTCCTCAGTCCTGCCCGTTGAAACACGCGTCAATTATTATTCAAATGTTAGGTAGCGCTCCGCAACATCGTTGCTTATTCGATAAAATTAAAATTAAAAAACCTTGCGCAGAGTTAAGCTACATGATACATACATACGTACAAAACCAAAAGAGCAAATCGATTAATTTCATGTGTAGGAAGTATTATGAATATGGACTTTCTAAAGTCAATATTTTTGTGCGCAAGTAATATGTGAAAACTTAATACATGCATAACTTAAATTTCACGACATTGTTATTTTTAATTTTACTGAATATTAATTACAAATTATACCTACGAAGGAACCTCCTAACATTTCTCACTTACTCGTGTGCATACACACATTATACGTATAGATAATAACATACTGTATGCATATACAGTTCACATAATCTTAAAGATCTGTTTTGTTTTACATATTAACAGTGCCAGGCCCGGATTAACACTATCGTATGCCCTAGGTCCCTAGTCCTTGCAGGGCCGTTGTCCAGTATTTAAATGGTTAAGAAATCTACTCTTTGGGAGAGGAAGTGTAGAATCTCATGCAGTAATAAGCTTTTAAAAACAATAATATTTACAACATAAAAATCAAATCTAAACTTTTATATGATAACTATTATACATTTTTATACGATAAATTTTAATAAATGTTAAAATAATTCATTTTCATCCAAAACATATAATATAAATTGCCTAAAATCATAAAAAAAATTTTTTATACCAAATTACATACTACAAAAAAATCGTAGCCACACATTTTCATAGGTCCAAAAATCTTCGTAGACCCTAGGCACAGTACCTATAGTGCCTATGCGCTATATGGCCCTGACCAGTGCATTACAATGTATAATATTTTTTTTTTTTTTTTTCTATAGATATAAAATTCGGATCGGATAGAATTTATATACAAACAATTTATAACTGATTATTTGTTTATGTACATTGTGTGTACTAATATAATAGGTACAAATAACCAAAAAGACCAAATACATCAATATGCTAATAACAAAAATAAACATCGAAATCCACTCCCGATATAAATCGTTTTCACACCTCACAAATAACATCATCTCAATGAGGTTGATATCAAAAGAACCGAAAACTGGTTTACGTGTTTTTTTTTTATATATATATTTACTTCTTACAGTAGTACAACATGATTACAAAATCAGTAGGGTCCGACCGTCTCGAGCACTTCGACGGCCATAATAAAAACATCCCTGCTGTGTAGCTATTGACTGTTTTCACTGGCTACTGTGTATAATATGATGTTTACATTGTATTACCTTTGTACTACCTACCTTAACCTATCTTCAATAGTCAGTCGGTCAACTATACCTTTCCGTTTATCTTAAATCTTTTCAATCTTATACAAACCAAAACACCTACCATGCAACGGTGACTTGACCCAACCACTTTCCTCTTATTCATGGCGTCCCTTATCATTTTTTAATCGTTAGTCGTTTCTTAAAATGAAACAATGTAATACACGCGCTTACACAAATAAGAATTGTCTTAATTGTTTAACTCTGAAATTAGTATTTTAGAAAACTGCGTATAACGATTATATAAATTATTTATTATTATTGTTTAGTTTATTCTAATTATTTTTCTCGTCTACGCATTTCTAACCATCTCCATTATTATACTCTACAGACAGTGGCGTATATAGGGGGGGGATCTGAGCCCATAGTGACATTTTTAATGAAAACATTTTTGGTCTTTCAAGTACTGTTTTTAATTTTTATATATCATAAATAATTATGATTTAAAGCTTAAAAATAAAAATAATATTACCTATATAATGTTTAATTTTTAGTTCGTACTTTTCTTATAAATAGCTGATATAATGATTATGAATTACGCCAAACCAGTGATAATACGCTATTTTTAAAAAATTATGTGTTCATAAAATAATAAGCTCATAGTGAAAACAATTTCTATATACACCATTGTCTACAGATATACTCATTCTTTAAATAACATCTGATAAAATATTGCAATGACTACCTACAAAAATAACTTACTAATTTGGCACTATTGTTCATATCTGTAATTCAATTTGTAATGATTCAAAAAATTTGTATTAATTAACCGCGTAATATTGATTGAATAATCTTATAATAAAACACAAGACAAGATTTTATGGTTAATATTAATAATATATTTTAGAAACATAATTTTAAAATACTTTAATCTGTCTATTATAAACATAAAAATCTATTTACTATTATGAATTAAGAAGAACTGAAATGAGTTCAAATATAAAGCGTAAAATATTTAATGATGGAGCGTACTTACTGATCCTACCATATATTACAAATCTTCCTACCTTGATTATATATAAATTATATATGTATTAATATAAATTCTTACCTGTGTATTGCAAATAAACAACTTTTCAAGTTTTTGTGTATTTAAAAGATGGAGTTCCACTGAGTGAATATATACGTAAGGTTCGATAAATTCAAAGTGAAAGTCTGTCAGAAAATTGAGTCCACTAATAGGAATCTGCTTCACGGGATTTTATACTCGTTAACGAGACTTTATACGACTCAGCGTCTTTTACAATGCATTAAAGGTTTTTTATAGATGCCGAAATGTGATTATCGTTGCTCTAATTTAATGATTTATTAAATAGTTATTATATATAATAATACATTCAATTATTATGATTAACTTATTATTATAACTAATTTAATTTATAATTGTTGTGGCCTAGTTTAATTATTATAATACGCAGTAATTTAATATTGTTTAATGAATAATGTTTTAATTGTAACTGGACAATAGATTAGATTTATATATGTGTAATTTTTATCTAAATAATCTTTATAATTTTTATCTATCTAATCTATTAACAAAATTACTGTTAAATGTTAAAATAGATTGTTTAAAAAATAATATCTTAATACTATTCAATTTTGATATAAATAATTTAATAATAACAAAATTACTGTTAAATGTCATATTTCATGACAAATATTTTAAATGTTATTACTAGAGCTCGGATGTTAATGATCAACATTTCATAAAAATATGCATTATAAAATATCAAAGTATGCAATTATATGCCATAAAATGTATTAAATATACCTATAATTTCAACAAATATATACAAAAAAATAGTTAATATTAATTAAAAAAATGTATATACTCTTTCGAATGTGTATTTAAAATTACTTTATTACAAAAAACAGAGTTGATGATTGAAAAAATTCACATATGAAAAAAAAATTAATTAGTTTTCGATCTATAAAAGTTAAATTTTACATAGGTTAAGTTTAGTTAATTTTACATAAGTATCAGGGTTGCACTGTAGAACAATAATTTTTCTGATATTTTCAAACTTGAAGGGCCTTCGACGATCCGACAAAAAGTTTTTTTAGACAATAACTACAATACAATTAACGGTACTGATTGATAATTTATAATAATATGAACAATTTTTAATAATATACTTATAATTTATAAAATATATGCTACTTCATCTAGAAACAATCGATATATACATTTATATGCTCAAAAATGTCAAATATGCAAAATAAGTTTGCATTTTTGCAGTTGAGATTTCATGAATCGAATTTATATCATATTGTGATATAATTCTGGTCGCGCAAAAAAAATATGCCAAGTAATAAACATCCTAGCTTTAGTTATTACCTATATATTTTAGGTAATCGATGATTAAATATATTAATACGTTATATATTAATATATTAATTACATATTAGTTGTTAATATCATTATAATTTATTATATCATTATTTTAGCTTAATATCTTCATATGGATAATTTTAAATTCCACTGACCAAATAATTAAGCATAGGTAACTTTAACTACGGAGTAAGTAAGGTTGTAATAAGACTATTTCATAAAAATCTATAGACAAAATATATATCTTGTTCTTGAACGAAGAAATCTTTATTCTGTTGAATATTTATCTATCATTACAACAATGCAAATATTGCTTAATTATTAATACAGGTTTATTGATGACTTATGTTTTCATCAAAATATTTCCTTTATTTTTATAACCCTCTCGTATAAATCCTACATTTTTACCGTTGTGGCCTTGTGGATATACGATTTTAAAAAATACCTAAAAATAGATTAATTTAACCTATATTAAAAACTGAAAGATTAATAGAAAACAAATAAATATTTTATATAATATAATATAGTAATAACCGCATAAAATTAAAATGTTCACTGAATACTTATATCAGCGTTTGCTATGCCAGTAGAATCATTGGGAGGGAGAAGGCAACAGATGCTTTTGCCACAATCTAGACTCCGGTGCAACTCGTTTGCGCACAATTTAAATTTTTTACCTGGATATCGATGACTCGTTTGCGCACAACGAAATCAGTCGTTTACCTGTAAACGGACGACTCGTTTGCGCACAACATAATCACTAAGTAACATGTATTTTATATTTTTAAATTTGGACTTACCTAAAGTAATTGAATTATCAGTACAAATTACCAGCATATCAATATCAATACATAATGATTTAAAATAATCGTCGTGTATTAGGAAAGCGTAATACTTTTAAACAGTCGTTCGCCAGAAAGCTGTACTATAACTACTAACTGTATTGACTGTGGATATCGAAATTTGTGATGTTTTTGAAACGCGTCGAGGAAAAAAATGTTTAAACATAGAAAGTTATAAATTTAGAGAATTCCGAACTTTAAAATCTGACGATAAACATTTTAGGTGTACAAATAAAAAATGTTCCGTAAGTGCTGTAGTTAGGTTAGTTAATGAATCATATAAAATTTTAAAAATGACCAACACGCATACCCATGTACGACGACCGAACAATTCATCGAGAAGTAGTAAGAAGCAAATTGAAACGTAGAGCTGAAGAGGATTTACATATTAAACCAAATAAACTAATACGCCGGGAATTGAAAAACAATGATAACTCTGAACATCTTCAATATAGCGATATGAAATTAATTCGAAGATCCATGTATGAAAAACGAAAAAAATCCTTTCCAAACATACCGAGATCTTTCGAAGATGCTAAAAAACAATTAATTGATGATCAGCATAATCTTACTTACAAAGGTAATAAATTTTCTTTCGTTAGTGATGATGAAAATATATTTATATTTACATGTAAACAAAATTTGGAATTGCTACAAAGTGCAGAACACGTTTTTGGGGATGGGACATTTTCATTCGCTCCGAAATATTTTGTTCAACTTTATACTATTCACGTATTTAAAAACAATTTTTATGTTCCTGTGGCGTTTTGTTTTTTAAGTAACAAACATACTGATACTTACATCAATATGTGGAAAACATTACAAAATATATGTATTCAAATTACTGGTAATATAATAAATTTAAGCAATTTTCATGTCGACTTTGAAAAATCTGCGCATAATGCAGTATTGCAAATTTTCCCTTACTGCAAAATCACGTGTTGTAACTTTCATTTAGGGCAAAATTGGTTTAGACATATTCAACAATATAAATTATTATCAAGCGAGTACTTAAACAACGACTCAGAAGTTGGCAAATGGATGAAATGTTTTTTTGGATTAAGTTATTTACCTCCTGACGAAGTTTCTGATGGATTTTGTGATCTTATGTCGATAGCACCAAGTACTACGTCTAGTAATATTTCTATATTTTCCGATTATATTTTAGAAAATTACATTGCATCGGACAGCAATTTTCCTCCAACATTATGGGCTTGTAAACCTACTAATAATCCTAAGACTACTAATGGTGCAGAGAGTTATCACAAACAATATAACAGTCAGTTTTACTCTGCTCATCCGCACATACATCAAGTAATCGACGTCATTATTGAAATTCAAAGTGACACTGATTTAAAAATTAATTCAATAAACAATAAAATCATAAATTTCAAAAGAAAAGAGATAATTAATAAGGAGATACAATTGGAAAACATTTGGAATGAATATAAAAATAATATTATTAATCGTTTAACTTATATAAAGAAAATCGGACTTAAATGCCACCATTCTAAATTAGTATAATTTATAACTAATAGACTACTATTATTACTTATTAAACCTACAATGCATGTTTTTTAAAATATTTTAATTTTTGTAATATTAAATTAATAATTGACAATATTGTTTACGCGTATAATCATTGACGTTATTATTAGTTTTATCTGTATTATATTGTTGTATATATATCTTATTCTCGCCAATATCTGGTCGCTCGATGTTAAATTATATAATAAATACTTAGAAATTCAAAATAGTTAAATCTTAATTTATATATTATTTTTTTTTATATACAATATGCATATATATTATTATTTTATACAGTCTATTAATTAATTAAAATTAAGCAAAAGAAAGGAAATATGCTTAAATGAGTTGTACCTTTATTATTTAAACCTAAAATATGTGTGCGCAAACGAGTTGTGATTTTGTGCGCAATCGTGTCGTAAAAAAGGTAAATGTGCGCAAACGAGTCGCACCCCTAGACTCAGCATAAGCATAGGTATGCACACGGGTGGAGCTGGGTGTACACATGCACCACTTGCGGCTTCTAGTTTATTTTGAAAAAAAAATATGCGTTTTCGAGGGCTTATGCACCCACAGAAAAACTAATAAACCTTAAGTGAAAATGCAAATTGATAATGTTATGAATGCTAAAAACCCCTGGTTACTTATTATACGTAGAATGTATGTATTAGTAGTAGTAGTATTGTACACCATCGTCGACCTAAACGGAACGTGCTGAGCACGCCAGGACTAATGCCAGGACTCACTGTGTATAACACAAGCGAGTCAGTCTTGTTTTACAGTGAGAGCCTTATGATTGTCAGAACCTTACGTACGGTCGGAACATTTTATATTAATTATATTAATTTTTAAGCATCTGTAGTATTTCAGACATTAAATAAAGTTAAGCTACTTTTGTGTTGTGACTAAAATTATTTGTGACTGAATACCTAAGCGCGTTCAGAACAATAAATATAAAATATAAATATACAGAAAACAAACAGTTGGCACTCGGTAGATCTGAAATATCTTGTATTTCTTAATATTGTTATATTACGCCTTATTGTATTACAGGAGTTATTCTGTTTAACACATCATATAAAAATAGAACAGTATTCTGCGTATACATTATAAACATATTGTTACCGGTATCCACCGTCGGACACCGGTAATGATCGACGTCCTTACTGTTTCTACAAAAGCAGATACCCAATTATTTATTATTGTAAAAGATATATTTAAGACCCTCCGGCTTCTACAGTCCTCTCAATAAGCGACTGTTTTAGTGCATATTATAAATAATATATTAGGTGCCATAAATAGACATAAATCTAGTAAATATTGTTTTTCGCCTAGAAGATGACATATTTAATTACTGGAAAACAACGTTGTTTTGGTAAAAATTAAGAGTTTTGATATGATTTTGGTAACTTGTATATCATTTCCTTTAATGATTTGAAGTTGAAATATAAATTATATTGATTATAATGCGATTACAATGTCGTGGGCCATACTTCACACTCGTAGTGATTGTGGGTCTTACTATCGTCGTATAGAGAGATATTTTTGTGTTTTTTTAGAGAAGATCTTCAATTTAAAGTATTTAATTAGAGTATACTTTATAAAATACACCCTTTCACCTTTATTGATTCGATTACAAATTTCACTATTCCAACCATTATTTTCAGTGATTGTTGCACCAACGTATTTAAAATATTGGTTTTTCTTAAATACGTAGTTCTTTATTTTAAGGTTTTGATCTTCATTGGTCAATGTTTCCATAACTTTTTTTTTTTTTTTAATCTATAAGATTACTGGGCCTCACTGAGCCATAGTCGTGGAAGACTCAGATAACTAAGGTATATTTATTTATCGCTAGCCCGAATTTTTTTTTCATTTATCAATGTTGTTGTGTTTTATACAACTGATTTTATTTTCACCTAAAAAGTTTTGATCATCTGCAAATCCTAGAACATCTAGTATAATTTCATCTATTATGACACTACGGTTGTTTCTTTGTACGCTACTTATCAATTTTTCAAGAGCGATGTTGAGTAGAATTAGCGAGAGCGCGTCGTCCTGTTTTAGCCAAGTCATTGCATCAAACTAGTCTGATAAAGTGCTGTCCACTCTCACTTGGTACCGTATGCCATCCATGCGCATTCTTGTAGGTGAGATAATTTTTATTGGGAATCCAAACTCTTACATTATGTTGTACAGGCTGTCATGGTGGATATTATTATACGCTTTCTTACAATCTACGAATACGAATAGGTAGTCAAATTTATTTACCATTTAAAATTTATATGTATAATATGTATAATTGGTATCTAAATATTGATTATAAAATGTTTAACTATAGGTTTAAACATAAAGTAAAATATACCTAATACGTTTCGTACATGTCTCATTTATACAGAATGCAGATAGGTAATTCATTAATATAAAATAAAATAAATTAAATGAACGCATTCATTTTTTTTATAAAACTTGTACACATTAAACTTGTACATTAACGTGTACACATAAAAAAAATTAACATGAACGTGAACGAGTCCCTTTTTTACGTACTGAATGTGAACGTAAATGAGTTCAATTTTTAACTGAACGTTCCGAACACTGATTATATATATCATTACGAGTTTGGATCGTATTATTAGAGTTTCTAAGGTTTGAGTATTAAATACTGGAATTTTTTTTATTTTACAGGTTCATTATATAGTTTGTTGATGTTGATTTTATCAATTTTGATAATATGCGTGGACATTTTTTTTTTTTTTATTCAGTGAAACTCCTTCAAATGTTCACTAAACTATTATAAAACAAAAGTCAAGTAACTGGAACTAGTTATGCAAGTGACAAATGTTGAAGAGTGAAGACTGAGTATATCAATAATGTAGGTCTTCTAAAAAAAATGACCAAATTTTTTCTTTTTTGAAAAAGTAAAGGATGAATGTAAAAAATAAGGAATGCACTACCTACCAACAATGTCTGCGCATGCTTACGATCTAGACCAGTGGTTCTCAAACTCCAGTCCATATCGTATTGGAAAAAATTATATTTTTAATTTAATGTTTAAATAATTTAATGTGTTGTCTTTAAACCTAACATTAATCCTACTATCGCAACAGTTTATTTCGGGCATCATAGTTAATACTTATTTCATTTTTTTGGAGTAATACAAGACTTAGAATATTTAAAAATTGTATCATATCATTTTAGTTTATATACATGACATAACTATATATTTTTAGATTATTAGGTATAACGATTATTTATATTACTTATAATAATGTTTTTTTTTTTATTGTGAATAAAATATTTAATATGGACGATTTTTAATTATTATTATTAAAAATATGATTTTATATTATTAGGTATAACGATTATTAATTAAGATTTTTTTACTATGATTTAAATATTTAATTTGAACGATGTGATATGATATTATACTACAATTTTTTTTAATAATCTATGTTATAATTTTATACTACTACTTGATTTTCTTCACTGGCGGAGTTTACATGAACTCAATTTTACCTGATATTTTTCAATGGCGGAGCTTACATGAACCCAATTTTACCTGTTTTTTTTTTCTGGCGGAGTTTACAGTAAAAAAAAAGTACTTGTGGCGGAGTTACATACGCCCATTATACATATTGCGTGAAACGACAGCCTACGGGTTTTTAACTACCTGCAATAGTTCTTGTTAACGTCCGTATATTTACCGAATATCGATCCGATGCAAAACGGGTGATTTTTTTGACTAACATTAATGGATATACTTCCGTTGCCTGTAATATTATTTATATTATTATAATTATTTTATCGATTGTCGGTAATTAAATGTAGTCAGTTCCAGACAAGAAGCGACTGAGTATAGAATCCAGAAAATTTTGACTAGAAAAAAAAAAGGTCATAATAGCGTACTATTTGTATAAAAAAATGTAGCAAAAAAGAAAAAAAATTGGGTACATGCTATTTTATTGGAAAGAAAAAGTTATAGTATTTTCTACACTTTTTTAGAAGATTTAAAGAAAGACAAAACAAAGTTTTTTAATTTCTTTCGAATGAATCGAGTAACATTTCAAAAATTATTAACATTAGTACAAGATAAATTAAAGCATGTTGATACTGATATGCGTGAATTTATTACACTTGCTGAACAATTGGCTGTTACCTTTAAGTATGTGTGAATAAAATAATTTTAAATATATAAAAAAAATAATATAATATAATATCGTATCCATTCATGCAAAACACTCCAAGTCCAAAAACATGATTTTTGAGAATCGGCTTTCTCAATTTTTTTCAAACTATAAATGTACCTATGACAAATGTAACCAAATTTACTTTTTACCACTTTTTGCTGTGTGATGCAAAAAAAAATTCAAGTTATTTCAAACCAGGGGCGGATTTAAGGAAGTTGCTTAGGGTGTTGAAGCACCCACCGTTCCTCGTATTATTAATTATTGAAAATTTAGAGGACTGGTCAGACTTGATTATAAATTTGAACAAATTTTAAAATTTCTACATCATATTATGTACCTACAACCTATATATTTAAAAAAATAATAAAATAATTATATAATGTTTTGATACCATTATGTATCTTAATTAATAATTATATTTCAAACTATTTATGTATAATCTAGGATGTTTCCACCCTGAATGGGACAATTTTCCCGCGGACAAAAAAAAATAAATATTAAACAATAATAATATACAATGCAAATAAATAAATGCATAAATTATTAAATTAATATATAAATATAATTGAAAATTTAAATAAAAATTGTATTATATTTGGGCTATGATAAAAAATATTTATTGAGTCGGGGGTGTAACATCTCAGTCTGGGGGGAAGGTAAATGTTCAGTGCCATTAAGATTCCCGGGTGGGGGGAATGTCCAGGGACCGTTTATGTAATATCCAAATCAAATGCACATTGCAAGACCGATTTTTCTAGCTGTTTAAGCTTAAATTTTTTTTTTTCATCATAACTACGAGTATTAACT